GAGCATAGCTACATGTTCATGCCCATGACTTATTGATGCAGTCATCCTAATTTTTAGTGCCATTGCAAGACTTAGGGTGAAATGTATGTCTGAAGGGCATTGCTTATATGCTTTTCTTGGTTGCACTTTGGACATCCCTTAATCAAGAGAACAAAGCTGTTTTGAAATACAGGCAGTTATTTATGTACAGTTTAGAACAGGGCTACTCAACTTTGGAAGTTCCGGGGACCACGATGCCCATAGCACATGCCGAGGGCTGCTACTTAATTGTGATTGCATATACGTGCAAATATATATGCAAATATCTTCTTTCACACAGTGCCCCAGCACTCCCAGCACCTCCTCTCTGGGGGCTAGAAACACCAACACTCTGTACTCATCTGTTCCAGCCAGCCCGTCTGCTTGTGTCTTTCAATGCTCACCCTGCCTGGGAGACATCTCATTGTTGTGGAGCTGGAGGCCATGTTCAAAGGATCCCACCCACAGGCCACATATTGAGTCCTGCGTAAACCCAAACCACACCATGGGCTATAAACAAATGGGCTGTGAGCCGCATGCAGCTCACAACAGACCCTTAAGTGTGGGAGGTGTGCACTGAGAGGGAAGTATTCCTAGCCCCTTCTAAAGACAGGGCTCCATGCAGTCTCCCAATTGGCTGGTACTGTTTTCCTCCTTGGTTTAGAGCTGAATCACAATAATGGGGGCATTATGTGTGCCCAAAGCTTACACTGCTATTTATTTTATACTCCTGGCAAAATAGAAAACTTCTGTTTCAGTGCAGTCAATTCATTTGTCTTTCACTAGCACTGTATTTCTTTTAAATAAAAGGACCTATAGATAGGTCACTTTAAAATAAAGTATTTTCTTACAAAGACACCAAATACCTGAAAAAATGAATGTTGACTGTGTATACTGTAAATTTAAAAGGCAGTATATGTTTGCTACACATTGTGTCTCTAATTGAAAGGAATGTTCTGTGTTAAAACCAGGTATCTAGGGATGTCATTGTGTATATGGCTACACGATTAACCAGTAAACCTGGGCTTATCGTAAATCCTGACGACTGCACACTTCCCTCCCTTGCTGCCTCAATATTAGAGGCAGCAAAGTGTGAGGGGGAGGCAGGAGCTGATGTTTCTGGGGAGTTGGCTTAAACCCCCGAGTTGGCCCCAGGTGACTGGTTAACTGTTAACATCCCTGCACTGGATTTCAAAGTGTCCCTTTTATGAGAACTTTTATGCCCAGTGACAATCTGTTTTTATTCATGCCGTGATAAAGAGTAAAAGTGATCCTTTAAAATATGATATCATTGCTGCATGATTCAGGAAGACATTTTCCCCCTTGCAAAGCACTGCACAGTTGCCCGATGTATTGATCAGGTGCTTACCTTCCTCTGATGTAACAGTTATTGGTCCAGTAAAAGCTGGATACTGGAGTTTGTACCAGTGGTTTGACTAAAGTGACTGCTGTTTTGGCATGTAAGCACTCTGTTACTTTGTCATGTGAACATATAGTAACTGAAAACTTCACCTTTGACGGATATATTCTAAACATCTTGTAATAGTTGTGAGGAGTTAAAATCCTTTCTGTAGGTAAATATGGACTTAATAGCATTCATGATTGTTCCTAGTGGTGACTCATCAGGGAGGTGCAAGGGGGCATGTGCTCCCAAATGCTGAGAGTTTGAGGAGCAAGGGATCTGAACCTCTGGGCATCTTGGTGGACTAGCGGGAAGGGAAGGGAGAAGGGCTGGCACCTGCAGCAGGGGTCAGGCTCCCCTGCACTCACTGGCAGTCGCAAGAGGAAGCGGAGCAACATGGCTCTGCTCCTCGACTGCTGGCACGTCACTCGAGCGTGGCAGGACTTCCCCCTCTCTGCACTCATTGGCAGGAAGTGGAGTTACATGTCTAGCAGCTGGAAAGCAGAGCCACGTCACTCCACTTTCCTCTGCCTCTGCCAGTGAGTGCGGAGAGGACCGGACCCTTGCTCCAGGCACCAGATCCACACTAGACCCCTAGGCTGCATCATTAGGGGAGGGGACTTGCAGAAGAGGCTGGGTGGCGGCAGGGCAGGGGCAGGGAAGAGATGGGAAAGGGAGAGGGCTGAGGCGGAGGGGGCATTGTCCCAGCCCTCCCCAGATTGCATGGGGAGGAAGTCACATGGCCTGTGCCTGCTGCATACTTTTTTACCGGTCCCCCCTCATTTTTCCATGCTGCCCTTTGCATGGAATAACTTCTCTATCTGGTCCCAATTCCTCAAATCACAATATTCTCATACAGATTATTCATAAAAATGCACTTGCTATCTAAATAATGCCCAGAAGAAGTGAGTTTATAAAATCTGTGATAGAAGACAGAACCAAATCTCACTCTCAGTATTTGTCTACACTACAGTTTTAGTGACAAAAGTCAGGTTTTGTCAACTACATAGTGAAGGTGTATATACAATGTTCCTCCCATCGACAAAGCTCTCCTGCTTTGCAACAAAATAAAAAGATCTCAACGAGAGGCGTAGGAGAGCTTTTTGCAGCAAAGATATATAGACAAAGTCTCAGTATAGACCTTGTGCTTGGTTATGTCACGGTTTGTGGCCTCTATGAGATGTTCCACAGTGTCCATCCTGACCACTCTGGTCAGCAGTTTGAACTCCACTGCCCTGCATCCAGGTCCAATTCAGGAGAGATCCATCCTTGTCTTTCCCTCCCTGGTTCTAGCATTCAGAAGTTTAGAATCTCCCCAAGCTTGGAGTTACATCCTTGACTGTTTTGGCTAGTAGCTATTGTTGGACCTACCCTCCATGAACTTACCTTGTTCTTTTTTGAACTAGGTATGTGAAAAGTTAACCAGTGGGGGCTGGAGTAGCTCAATGCCCACTGTAGTCAGGGGCTGCTCTAGCCCCACAGAACTTGCTGTGAATGGGGTGCTCCCAAGGGCACCATTTCAGGAGGGTTGGGGGTGGAGGGGGGTAGCAAGAGCTATGTGCTTGCTTTTCATCCCGTTCCCCGGACTATCAGGGAGTGAGGGATAGTACTTGCATTCCGTGCATGCCTCTCACACCTGGCTGGTGGTGAAGGGAGCTCACCAGCCCGGTGTGAGAGGCATACACGGAATGCAAATACTTTTCCCTCATTCCCTTAGTGTCTGGGGAATGGAATGAAAAGCAAGCTGAGTCCCGGGGTGCAAGGCTGCTGTCCCCACTAACCTCTCAAAATGGTGTGCTTGCGTGCTCCGGCCTGGCTTGAGCAACCCTGGTCCATTGGGAACCTGCCCCTGCCCCGCCCATTTCCCCTTTAATTGTTTAACCGGTTAAAAGAACACATTTAACTGGTTAGCCGATTAAACAGGATTTTACATCCCTATTTTGAACCCATTTATGCTTCTGAATATCATAGTATCCCATGGCAATGAGTTCCACAAGTAAATTATGCATTTTGTGAAAAAGTATTTCCTTTTATTTGTACTAACTAACCCCAATGCTAGTTAATTTAATTGGATGACCCATGGTTTTTGGGTAACTAACACTTCTCAAATTTCCATACCATTCGTGATTATGTAGGCCTCTATTATATCCCACTGAACGTCCTATTTTTGGTCTCTCCTGGTATGGAAGCTGTTCCATATGCTTAATCATCTTTATTGCCCTTCTCTGAACCTTTTCTAGTTCCACTGTATCCTTTTTGGAGATGGGGAAACCAAAATTGTATACAGTATTCAAGGTGTGGGTTTGCTGAGAATTTACATAGTGGCATTATATTTTCTATTTTCTATCCCTTTCCTAATAGTCCCTAACATTCTGTGAGCCCTTCTGACTGCTGCTGTGCATTGATCTAAAGTTTTCAGAGAACTGTCCATGGTGACACAATCTACTTTAGTGATAATAACGAATTTAGAGTCCATTTTTATTTATATAGGGGATTATTTTTTCTAATGTGCATTACTTTGTACTTGTCAGATTTTACAAATACATTTACGCTCTTTGACGAGTACAGTATTGTGAGTGAGGGATGTGGGAAGCATTTCCACCAGTCTGGCTCTCTATAATGAAAGTTGTGCTTGTTATTCTTTTGTTATTGGTTAATGTGATGCATGCATGCAACTCCCTTGCTTTGCATAATTCTTTACAAGAATCCCATGAGTCTTTAGAGAGTTAAGATTTTGTGTATGTGCCAGAGGTTTGATTATTGCTGCATGGTTAAAAGGAAACAATGTTGGGGATACAGACTTTTAGTTTTAGATTTCTGGTTGAGATCTGGTCCTGGCCAGTAATGATCAGAAGTCAATACCATCTGAAGCATGTTACTTATCTCAGTATAAGTGTCCAAATCACCTCCCCTCAAGAGGCACCCTTGTTAGGAGTATCAGCAAAGACCCATGATTAAACTGCTGAAAACTAAAAAACTCTCTTATAGAATAATCCCAACAAGTTGGTACTGAGGCACATTAGTGGAGTAGTGTGGGGAAAATTTTGCTGTTGCTATTAGTGCTGTATCTGCTCTGGATAAACAAGGAATTTGAATTGGCAAGAGGAGATAATATGATTCTTTTTGCAAGGGATAATCAATCGATAATTATACTTGGGATTTTATATATCAATTTATATCTTCAGAGTCCTTTACAGACAATCCCTGTGAAATAGGGTGTATTCTTTCCATTTTATACTGAGAAATTAAAGAATAGAGAAAGGAAGTCACCTGGCCCTGGCCACACAACATGTTTTGGCAAAATCTGGAATAAAATTTGGGATATTCTAAGTGTTATGCTGAAATTGCTAAATACTTTTCACGGTCCATCCTGATAGAATTGATTCCTGCTTTATCTACAAAATCATTCATTTAATAAGAAATTAGTGATGGAATAATTTTCTGGTGCACAGTATAAGTAAAACATCCAAAATCAATAATAAGGAAGGGGGCAAATATCAAATAATAATGTAAATAGAACTTGTTTTGGTAAATGCTTTTCTAACAACCTGTCTTTTTGGTTTTGTTCATTGTTTTGCAGAAAGAAAACTATGACTGTGACACACTGAAAGAAACAGCATAAACAAAAAAGTGAGTCAGTGAAAATCACGCAAGTTTCTGTTGCATAAAACATAAAACTATCTATGTTTATTGTTAAGAAGTCAACATTGTTTCTTTGCCATATCTCCAACAGGGTAAATTGGGAATAGCAGATTCAGTCTGCTGGTTGGTTCCTATAGCCGTTTTGGTTTCAGGATCTGTGATTTCAGTGCAGGCTCACAAGATATGTCCATTCTTTCCCTGCACTTTTTTGCAGAGATCCTCTGTGTGGGTATATCATGTTGAAGTGAAAAGGCTGTCTGAGAATTTTTTTTTTTTTTTGCTTTATCCACCCCCACTACAAAAAATATCACCAGCATTTATGGCTCTTTTCACACCTTTATAATCATGTGTGATATAATTCAGGCAAGGGCATCATTTGGGTAGGCTGGGGGGGGGGGAACTCTAGCACCCTCCTGAATTTTATATCTGATTTCTACTTACCGTAATCCCAGACAGAGCTCTTAACTGCAATACATCTTCCCTGTGATATGTGATGAGTTTGAAAGCTGGGAACAGCATAGGCTTTGGGTCAGGGAGTTTGTTTATAAACAGACCTCAGGAGTATCATTAAGATAACAAAAGGCTTGTAATTAAAATAAATTAAAGATGATCCTGAAAGCTTTGCTAGACTCTCCAGATAAAAGAAAGTAAATAATGTGTAAAAAATAAATGGTGAGAATAGAGAGAGATAAGTAGTTGGGTCCCTTGGGGGGTCTGTACTGCAACTAGTGCTGTTCAATATACTCATACATGATCTGGAAAAGGGGTAAACAGTCAAGTGGCAAAATTTGCATATGATACAAAATTACTCTATAGTTAAGTCCAAGTAGACTATGAAGAGTTACAAAAGGATTTCACAAAACTGGGTGACTGGGCAAAACAATAGCAGATGAAATTCAATGTTGTTAAATGCAAATTAATGCACATGGCAAACAAAATCCCAACTATACATACAAAATGATGACTCTAAATTAGCTTATAAGGAGATCTTGGAAAGCTCTCTGAAAACATCTGTTCCATGTACAGTGTCAATCAAAAAAGCTAACAAAATATTAGGACTTATTAGAAAAGGGACATGGATAGATAATAAACTAGAAAATATTATATTGGCTCTATATAAATCCATGGTATGCCCACATATTGGATTTGGAAATGGTATAGGGAAGGGCAACAGAAAGATTATGTATATTGAACACCTTTCATATGAGGAAAAGTTAAAAAGACTGGGACTTTTCAGCTTGTAGAAAGATGACTAAGAAGCAATAGTGTAGAGGTCTATCAAATCATGAATGTTATGGAAAAACCAAATAAGTATATGTTATTTACTCCTTTACATAACACAAAAATTAGGAGTCACTTGATGAAATTAATAGGCAGTAGATTTAAAACAAAATATTTCTTCATAGTCAACCTATGATACTCTTTAGGAGGGGTTGTTGTAAAGGCCAAAACTATATGAGAGATAAGAACAAGATAAGTTAAAGGAAGATAGATCCCTCAAATAGCCCGGGTGAGCAGGTATCTAACTAGGTGTTATCTGCCCTCTCTTTCCTGAACCCCAGTACCCACCCAGAGCTGAGATAGAACCCACAAATCCTGACAAGGTCTCTCTCTTTGCAGAGTTAGCAACAAAGTAAGAATATACATTTAAAATTTTAAATATAACAGTGTCCCTTAAGTGATTTGCCACAAGATGTCAGAACATATTATTAGAGCTGAATAAATATAATATTTATTTAATTTCCTTTCTGTTATTTAGGAATTAGATACAGGGCTACTGTCAGCTTAAATGGCTAAATTATTTATCAAAAAGCTAGAGTTTTCAAGTGTCTAAGTAGCCGCTGGAATCTTGTTAAAGTTGATCCCCGTAACCAAAATTGGAATAGCCCTCCTGGTTTCAGGATTGTGCTTTGGAATTAGATGTCACTGATTAATACTGAGTTCTTGTCTGTATTTAAAAGATGATATGGTGTATCTATATAGATGGAGATATACTATTAAACCTTCCTAGTGCAGATGCAGTTTATACTATCAGAAACAATCCCTTTGACCATCTAGTTCAGTGGTGTCACAGGGCTCAACACACGGCCCGTGGGTGGGAGCCAAAACAAAAAAGTAGTCAATATAATGGTCTTCTGTTGATAAGTGTTTTAGTAGTTAAATTCCAGGACTGTCATTGCTCATTAAAAGTGCTGTCATATGGGTGGAAATCAGGTAAATATTGAATTTTAATATCAGTAGAACTGACTTAAATGAGGCCTATGTGTTGTGTAGTCTTCCCTTAATCGTTGTATTCATGCACATCAGTGTGAAAGAAGCTATTTGCATATATATTTGCATGTAAGTTGTGGCCCTCAGCATGTGCTGTGAGTATCATTGTGGCTCCCAGGGCTTCCAAAGTTGAGTAGCCATGGGCTAGATTGTTGGACTCAATAGGTTGTGATCAACAGTTTGATGTCTGATTGGCAGCTGGAATCAAGCAGAATGTGCCAGGGGTTGGTCCTGGAACTGCTTTTATTCAGCAACTTCTTTAATGATCTAAATGATGGATTGGATTGTACCCTCAGCAAGTTCACAGGGGACACTAAGAAGGGAGGAGAGGAAGATATATTGGAGGATAAGTATAAGGTCCAGAGTGACCTACACAAATTTGGAGTATTGGGCAAAAAGAAATCTGATGATGTTTAACAAGGACAAATGCAGAGTCCTGCACTTAGAATGGAAGGATCCCATCTGTTGCTACAGGCTGGGGACTGACTGGCTAAGTGGCAGTTCTGCAGAAAAGGACCTGGGGACAATGGACAAGAAGCTGAATGAGTCAACAGTATGCCTTTGTTGCCAAGAATGCTAATGGCATATTGGGCTGTATTAGTAGGAGCATTTCCACAAGATCAAGGGAAGTGATTTTCCCCTTCTGTTCAGCACTGGTGAGGCCATATCTGGAGTATTCCATCCAGTTTCTTCCCCACCCCCACCCCCAGCCCCACACACACTACAGAAGGGATGTGGACAAACTGGAGAGAGTCCAGCAGAGGGCAACAAACATGATTAGGAGTTGGCACAGGACTTAGGCTAAGAGAACTGGGCTTATTTAATCTTCAGAAGAGAAGAATGAGAGGGAGTTGATAGCAGCCTTCAATTAACTGAAGGGGGGTTCAAAACAGGATGGAGCCAGGCTGTTTTCAGTGGTGGTAGATGACAGAACAAGGAATAATGATGCTAAGTTGCAGAGTAAAAGGTCTAGATTGGATATTAGGAAAATCTGTTTCACTAGGAAGGTGGTGAAGCACTGGAATGGGTTACCTACGGAGGTGGTGGGATCTCCATCCTTAGAGATTTTGAAGGCAAGGCTTGACAAAGCCCTGGCTGGGATGATTTAGTTGGCATTGGACTAGATCAGGGCTACTCAACTTTGGAAGCTCCGGGGACCACAATGATACTCCCAGCACATGCCGAGGGCCGCAACTTAAGTGTGGTTGCATATATATGCAAATATATGCAAATAGCTTTTTTCACACTGATGAGTATGAAAACAAAGATTAAGGCAAGATTACATAACACACAGGTCCTATTTAAAATAATTCTGCTGATATTAATAAAATGCAATATTTATCCAATTTCCACCCATATGACAGCACTTTAAATGAGCAATGACAGTCCTGGAATTTAACTACTAAAACACATATCAACAGAAGACCATTATATTGACTACTTTTTTGTTTTGGTTCCCACCCACGGGCCGTGAGTTGAGCCCTGTGACACCACTGAACTAGATGTTCCACGAGGTGTACCGGTAGTTCGGAATAGGAAGCCTAGTTCGAACCAGCGGGGTATTAAAAATGGCGGCTCCCCGCTTATGCAAATGAAGCCCGGGAAATTCAAATCCCGGGCTTCATTTGCAAGTGCGGTATGCCTACATTACCCTCCTAGTTCGAACTAGGAGGGTAGTGTAGACATACCCTAAGAGCCCAAGGTTTGGAGAAGACACCACATCATAGTAATACAACTGACATAGCTTGCTCGCAAAGCTTGTAATTGTAGACCAGTCCTTAATGTTGTGTGGAATAGATTTACAAGTACTTTGTTACTTGGTGTATTTTGAATGTTTATGATTTAGCCTGTTCGTTGTTTTTGCTATGATCAAGAAACATTAAGGTAGTTTGTTGGTGTTTATAGACGTCAAGCCTTGCCATTGAGTCTCATTTAAATGATCTGTTGGTATTGATCAGTATCCAGTATTAAAGATACATGTTTTTAACTGTTTGTATTAAGACAATCTTGTTTGACATAAAAAGTCATAAAATCTGATGAAGATTCATGACTGTAATAACAGAACCCAACATTACTCATCTAAATATCAAAGAACGTAGTTTCAGATCAGGCAGACAAAAAATAATAGACTCATTAAAAGATTGGATGAGGTTTCTTATATATTGCTGAGTCAATTTTAAAATATCTTTAAAACCATAGAGCACATTGTGTTTTACTTCTCCTCTGTCAAGGGATGAATATGTTTCTAATTTATGGGTTTAGAAATTATTGATGACTGCCGTGTGTCAAACAGCCTTGAAGACTGGTACTAATATTTTTTTTCGGTTAACATTAAAGCCATTTTAGTTTGTACTGCATTTTTTAATATTTGAAAAATTAAATAAGTTTGTACAGAATGTTTTTCATTTTGCTGCACCACAAAGCTTGCACTCCTTTAATAGTCTGTTGCAAAATCACAGAATCATAGAAATGTAGGGCTGGAAGGACACTCAAGGGGTCATCAAGCCCAGCACTCTGCATTGAGGAAGGACCACGTAAATCTGGACCAGAAATACCCAAACTATGGGGTACACCACCCTTCTATGGGGGCACAAATGACATTACAGGGAAGCACAGTGTGATCCACTTGGGGTGGCAAGGGAGCACCAACCAGCCCCGCTCTGCTTTCTGCTTGTTTTGCTTAAAGTCACATTTTTCAGGAACATAACTACAGTGTT